ATCACTGGGCAAGTAGGTGAGACTTCCCAGTTGGACAGAGTAAGAGAGGAAGCAGGAGAGAGTGAGGGGCCTTTTGGACAGGAATAGCAACAGGACAAGATGTAGCTACTAGCATATTCCAGATTAGATGGCGAATCTGCCAGGATTCGCCACCAGAGGATTTAGGTTTAATATGGTTTACAAGATTAGGATGCTAGTTGTTGCACCCAGAGACTGAGCTACCATTGTTTCTGAACTAAGTCTGTGTGGTGTTTTCCTTTACAAGGCGGTTTGACTGGGTTCCAGAGAGAAAGGTAAGGTGGCAAACCATGGGTTTGCCAGATGTGCACCACAAAGGCAGTGGAGGTTTTGAAGCACGGAGCTGGCATGGTAGTGACCTGGCAGTGGGAATTTAGTGAGCTGGGTGGAGAGATTCTGGAGCTCTGAGTCAGAGAGTCTCCATGAGATAAGGACAGGCAGGCCAGCCTACCTCCATCGGATAGAGTAGCTGAGCGTAGCTCGAGAACTGGTGCCACTTTTTAAATATTTCCTGCAACAGCCAAACATGCCTATTTCAGTTTAAGCTATAAAACTATAAATCCAATTCTGCAACTGTTCTAGATTCATTTTAACTGTTCAACATACCTACAAAGGCAATAGCTGCTCTGTTATAAAGCAAAGATTTCAGAAAATTTTTATCATTGCACACAAATTTATGAAACAGAATCAGTAAGCATGCTCTAAAAAGAAATCAGCCAGTATTTCAACTCATCTACCTTTTCCCCATTTATGATGGCTAATCTTCATGGTCAACTTAACTATTCTGGAATCAACTAAAATCCAACCAGCTGAACACAAGGGTAAGAAACTATTCTTCATTGGATTATTTGAGATGGGAGACCCACCCTAAATCAGGATCATTTGAGGTCAGAAGACTTAACTTAAATCGGGCCACATACTCTGCTGGCAGCCCACATAAAACAACAAGTGAGAAGGAACTTTTTGCCTACTTGACCTCACTCTCCCAGGTAAGTTCATCTCTTCACTGAACTTAAGAGTCACCTTCTTTGGGATTCCAATGTAGACTAGAAACAAGCTGAGACATCCAGCCTTGTGGACTAAAGAGCTATCAGATTCCTGGCCTTTCTGTCAGATGACCACAGTTGGACTAGCCAGACCACAACTTGTAAGGCACTAAAATTAAGTTTTATATATATATACACATATTCATATTCGACAGGTTCTGTTCTTCTAGAGAGGTCTAACTAATAAACACAGTTTCCACTTATTCCTATCCTGGTAGTTCAAGAATATCACAAACTGCAGCAATATACTATCTGAACTCAAAGTAGCCAATAAAGGCAGCAGCATCAAATACATCTCTCTTATCACTCATGGCAGCAAAAAATTTGCTATTTGTAATCCTGTTTGTCCTAGTTAGGTTTTTTTGTCAACTTGACATTTGGAAAAAGGAACCTCAATTGAAAAAAAATTTTTTCTATATTGGATTGCCTGTAACCAAGTCTATAAAGCATTCTTGATTACTGATTACCTAATATAACTTAAATTCATTAAGAGTTTAGGCTCCTTCAAAAAAATAAAAATACAAATAAGACAAGCTATTACCATTGCTTCTGGTTGCCCACCAGACGGCACTGTGAAGACAATGTATACTTTGATCTCAGGACATGAAGAACTCAGGTGAATAATGACTGGCAGGCATCCTTTCTGATGGCTAATTTTCATAGTACCACAGGGTGCTATGTACACTGTTGGAAGATAAATGTCATCAATACTTTACCTATCTGTGAAGCTCAAAAGCTACAATAACCATTTGCATGATAAGATATACCCATGGCCAATAATAGGGTAAACAACTGCTTTCATATTCAACTTAAGGAGAAAATGCATGCCTTGTAGTTTAAATATGGTCAAAAATTCGTGGCAGCAAAGCTCAGGTGAGCTTTGTGAACCTAAGTGCTGGCTACAACCTGACACAAGCCATAGTCATCTGAAAAGAAGGACCCTCAATTAGGAAAAATACCTTCAGAAGAACTGTAAGTAGACAGTTCTGTACAGCATTGTGGATGGGACACCCCTGGATCTTGGGTTTTGTAAAATAGCAGTTAAGCAAGCCATGAAAAGCAAGCCATTAAGAAGCACTCATTCATGGTCTTTTACAAGGGCTCCTGCCTGCATGCTTCTGCCCTCCCAGACTGAGATCCTAGCTTCCTCTCCTTCAATGGACTGTGATATGTAAGCCAAACAAACCCTTTTGTCCCCAACCTGTCATGGTTTTTGCTCACCATGCAATGGTAACTCTAATTGAAAGAATCTTTTACTATTACTTTCTAAATGAAACACTATCAAACTGACCTCTGAATATGCATCTCTACACAGATTAATGTAGCTCCTAGATTTCAAAGAAACTTTTTTAAAGCAGAAAACTGATGTTGAGAGAAGTGACAGTGAATATAAGCAAAATACACTATATAAATGCATAAAACTCTCATATAATAAAATATATTAATGAGTAGAACTATAATATTCACAATCAAAAAATACGTAAAATATATTTCATTTGGTGACTTTAAAACTGTAACTCAATAATGAAAAAGAAAAATTAGATGCACTTCCTTCAGTGAAACTTAACATTCTAAACAAACAAACGTAAGTAAATAAATCTTAAAGTAGTCATGTTATGGGCCTACAGGCAAATTTATTTTCTCAATATTTGTTAACTTCAAGTTCTGAAAGCTAAGTAAACTGGTATAGACAGTGTTTCCCTTCTTAATATGTAGCATAGTCTCACGTAACAACAAAGGAGACAATCCCAGCCTGAGTAGTAGGTCAAGAACAAGTATATTACAACACGGTGTAATTAAAGCTGTAGGCAATGTTGCAGATTAACTCAATAAAATGAGTATCTAAGAAACCTAACCAGCTTGCAAAGGTTAAAAAGCTGTTCTATGTGTATGCAGCAAGTGACTCAGAAATACAGTATTTGCCAAAAACTAATACCTATACTGGGAAGCTATAATTTTCATGAGAATCTTATTTTCCTCAAACAATATTTAAATTTGTTTTAGATTCTCCATCTGACCAACTGGGACCATCTTACAGATTTTGTGAAAATACACAGGTCTCTGTTCCATGTTCCTTGCCTATGTCTACAAGGAAAGAAATCATGCTTATTTTGAGAAAACAACCTATTTACAATCCAATTCCATTTTATGGCCAACATAGCTAAAACATAAGATATGGCATAAAGCAAATGGGGCAGAGTATGTAGGAACCAGAACTCATGCTCCTTATTTATAGTATCATAGATGCACAAATCATATAATGCTGGCTCTCAAATCATAGTGGAATTAAACTAAAAATCCAAGATAGAAATGGTTGTGAAATCCCAAAATTACTTGGATGTTAAACAACATAATGCTAAATACACTAAACTAGACAAAAATTAAAAGACAATTTATTAAAATTTGTGAGATGTACCCAAACAACCCTCAAAGGAAAATTAGGAATAATGAATGAATACATCATTGGCCTCTGTTACGTATTTGTGGAGTCAATTAACCAACTGTAGACTAATAAATTATTTCTGTAGAAACAACCTACATAGATAATGAACATTAAATTTCCTTTTCCTTAGTCTGTAAACAAGACAGTACAGTACAGTAACAACAAAGGAGTTACGTTATAGGTAATGTAATATTCTCTATACAATATATAATATAGGTAACAAGGGTCATACTGAATTGGTCTAAACTATGTGAGAAGATATGCACTGATTATATGAAAACACTTCCTCATTTTATAAAGTACTTGGGTATCTTTCCATCTTGTTATCCATAGGGACCTTAAAACCAATGTCCCATAGATACCAAACGACAACTAATTATCAGAACATCAGTGAGAATTTAAAATCTCACTTGTATTTCTACTTTAGCAAACTAGGAAAAAAAAAACAAAAACAAAAAACAAACCAAAACAACAAAAAACATGTAAATTAAACTCAAAGTTAATAAAAGAAATTAACAAAATTGAAAGTAAGAAAGCAATAAAGAAAGAACAGCAAAAAAAAGGATTCCTTAGAAAGAGGCATGAAACTGATAAGCTTGTAGCCTAATTGGTAATCAGGAAGAAAAAAAAAGACACAAATTATTGAGAAAGATCATAAAAGACTTCATGGAAGTGAAATGGGCAATAAAGAAATATAACATAACATAATCAATTCTATATCCACTATTTGATAGTCAATGCAATGAATGTAACAAATCAATTTCTTGAGAAAGAATCTTCAAAATCCACATAAGAGATAACGTCAGCAATCAGGCACCTCCACAGACAGCCAAAAGGAATCCCATGACAATGTCTGCAATTCAGGCATCTTCCTAGCCAGCTTTCAAGGAATCAGGTGACATTAAGACATGTCATCATTAGATGCTCAGAGGGGACAAACTGTCAACCCCGTCACATGTCTTCTTATGCATGCACCACAGCCTGATAAAAGGCCAAGTTTTTCCACCTCTCATCTCTTCTTCTCTTTCCCTCCCTTTTCATAAACTTCCCATGTGAGATCTGTTGTTGCATGGTGTGACTTTTGTCAGAACCTACCACGTAGTTCCATCAGATAGACCAGGGGAAAAGGCTGATCTGCTAACGAAACTTAATAATAACCAAACTTCCAAAACAAAGTATCATGCCTAGATAGCTTGATAATTTAAGGAAAAAATTATAGCAATTTGGGGCTAGAGAAATAGTTAAGACTGCTATATTTGGAGAAGCCAAGGTTCTGTTTCCAGAAGTCACATGGCAGCTCATAATTCTCTATCATTCCACTTCCAGGGGAGCTAACACCCTCTTGTAGCTTCCACAGACTCTTATGCACATGTGGCAAAGGCACACACATACGTACATATATACAAACACATAAAAGTAATAATCATTAATGGGACAGACATTAATGGGGCTCAGTGGTTTGGTTAATAGTGCACACTGCCCTCCCAGAGTACCTGAGTTTGGTTCCTAGCACCCATGTTGAACGGCTCACAACTGTCTGTAACTCCAATTCCAGGGGATCCAACACTTTTTTCTAGCCTTTATGAGCACCTTCATACACCTGGCATATACAGAGAGATAAACATATGCACAAATTAAAATGTGTATTAAAAGAAAAGACACTAGGAGCAATCTAAGTATAGTCCTCACATCTCATCAAGGAGGTTTCTGTTTGCAAGAGACTATTATAGTGGGATGCATCTATGTAAGACCTCCTACACCAAAGGCATAAGAACACTGTAAAAGATGGAGCAGAAAGATTATAAAAGCTAGTAAATCCAGGGAGTGTGCTGGAAGATCATCTTTCCCATAACACGAGAAACTATACCCATAAAGTCTCATCATCACAATGCGTAAACATGAGCTATGCAAGGACAACAACAACAAACATGATCAATACATGGGAAAGACCACAAGGCCTCAACTGTTCCTCCTCAGAGGCAGGCTGAGTGGAAGAAAAAGTCTTCACCAGGAAAGACACACCAATTGGCTATCCAATATCAAAGAGTCAGCCCTGATTAACAAAAATAGCCCTGTTAGATACGCATGTAATATAAATAAAAGAAGATAGGGGAGAATATAGGAAGAGTTAAAGGGAGGAAGAAAGGAAGAAATGAAATAATTATGCTACAATCATAAAATAATAAAAAAAGAAATTAGAGCAATTCTCTACAAATCCTTGTAAAATCAAACTTACTATAACCAGACTAGACCAGACCAGACCAGTACAAAAGAAGCACAAAAAAGTATCTGCCATAAACAATGTAGGCAAATCAAATCCACAATATACTGTCAGGTCCAAAGGAAACTTCAATTCTTTGTGACTAGACAAAAGCCTGCATTCCTCTGGAAACTGTGGAGTACAGCCACTCCTTGACCTCCCCATTCATGCATGTGTACACAAAGAGTAGAGTGCTAACGTAGTTTTGCAAAAGACACAAAACGTCACAGCAGAGGAAGGGCAACAAAGAACAAAACTTTCTTCCCTACCTCTTTAGGGATAGACAGATTTGACTTTGAACTTCTGTATGTTTTGGAGACCGTAGGTTCTCCAGTCCCACAGATTGGACAATTCTTCCCTGACTGATCTCATTTTTTTTTTTTTTTTTTACTTTAGTTGCATGCCTACAATTGTCAACCAGGGATCACAGGCACCTGACACTTTATAAATTCCAACTTCAGAACACAGGCACAGAACTGCAGACAGTATAGACAGAGAAAGAAGAGAACAGAGGAAGAAAAGAATTAAGACTCACTCTGCTCCTGATTATAAGGCCTGACCAAGTACCTGCCTCCGACCCCACCCTACCCAATCCCCAGATACACCTGCTCTTTACAGGGGAAAAGAAGCCTGAATGAAGACTCTACGGTCTGTCACTCAGCCAGCTTATTTCTTTGGCAAAGGAGTACCTAACTCAAGACTCTGAGGACAGGCCCACTGAGGGCTAGGGTTTCTCCTATGGTAAGGAGGCTTGGTTGGTCCAGCTTCCAGAACAGGACCAGAGGCACAGAGAAGGCTCATTTTTTGCCTCAGGACCCATTTTTCCCTCAAGCTGTGACACTACAAACTTCAGCTGTAGATAGGAATTAGTTCCTAAAGCCTCCAAAACTTGCTTCTCCCTTAGCTGTAACTTACTCTGCAAGCGACTGCTCATCTTTGGCGCCTCCAAAACCCTGAGAGCTTTTGATCTATCACATTTCTCAGAACGGTTAACAACTTCTGATGGTGTACTAGTTACTTTTCTATTGCTGTGATTAAGCACCATGATCAAGGCAACTTATAGAAGGAAGGCTTTATTGGGATTATCATTCCGGAGTTTTATGGTAGGAAAGCAGTAGATAGATATGACTATCGATAGACAGATGGCAGGAGCAGCTATTCAGTTAACCTTGAAAGGCAAAGAGGAAGCATAGACAACAAACTAGCAACTCAGTCTTTAATCTACCAAAGTCTGTTCCTCAGTGACACACCTCCTCTAGGAAGGCCATACCTCCTAAACTTCCCAAACAGCTCCACTGGAAACCAAGTATTCATATGCCAGAGGTTATGGAAGACATCTCATTCAAGCCATGAGAACTAGCATCCCCACCACTATTCAAAGTTCAAAACTGTTTCACTTAAATCGTGCAAAGGAATCTCTTCTAAGTTTGTTTGTTTCTATCCCATTTAAAGTTGTTAGATCCAAATCAACAATGAAGTACTTTCCACTGGTCTTCACTGTCTCTTTCCTGTCTCCCCACTCCATTCTTGGAGGAGGGTAAAAACTGCCTCAACACAACTAACAGAAACAGAGGAAAACTCTAAATAGCCTTGGATTTACTGGTGACTTTATAAAGATGAAACCAAAAAGCAAAATCCTTTCAAGAGCAGATCCAAATTAATAATTTTTTTTTCTAACTCATGAAAAGACACTGATAAGAGAACCAAGACAAGCCAGGTGGGCAGAAAATACTTCAAAATGGCACAGCTGGTAAGATAACAAGCAAAGCAAAAAAACCTGCAACACAATATAAGGAGACCTTGAAATACAGCAAGAAAGCAAATACATCAGGACAGAGAGCACACATATACCAAACATCTACAGGAAGATATTTCTCATTCTATATTAGAGAAATACAAATTACAATAATAAACCATCACATAAACACTTATTAAATGCTCAAGGTCCAGAACATTGACAACTCCAAATGCAAAAAGAAAAGAAAAAAAGAAACAAACTGCCTTATTCACTGCTAGAGGCTATCCTTGGATAGCCAGTGATACAACCACTTTAAAAGATATTTGGTCATCAAATGAAACACAATCTTACATACAATAACTACACTGCTTGTTATTTACCCGAAGAAGTTGAAATTTTATGTTTCCACAAAATGGTGGTTCATAACAGCTATATTCAAAATTGCCAAAACTTTGAAGATGTCTTTTAATAAGTCAAATAAATGGTGGGACATCTATGCAATGGAATACTACTCAGCATAAAAAGCAATATTCTATTCAAGCCGTGACACCCTGAGGAAGCTAAAAAGCTCACTGAGTAAAAGAAACTAGAATGAAAAAAGTATATGTTGTATGACTCACATCACATTTTGGAAAAGGCAAAATAGATTTTTAGTTTTTTAAAGTTAGTAGTTTTCCAGGGATTGAGGGCAGGTGGATGAATAGGTGGAACTCAGAATTGCTATGGCAGTTAACATACTCTGTATGACATTATCATGATAGGTAAATATAAATTTGATGAATTTCATAAAATATATAGTAGGGGTTATTCTTAATGTGAGTATGTAGAGTAATAATGACATGTTAATTCAGAATAATCAACTGAAACAAATGATCCATTCTGGTAGATGAGAGCGATAACTATGTGAATATGGGCACAGAAAAAAAATCTTTGTACCTTTTGTTCAACTTGCTGTAAACTGACAACAGCTTCAAAAAATTTCTTCTCTTAATTACTTGGGTTAGGGACAAATGAGAAGTTTACAAATATTCTTTATATAAAACTTTTAAAAATTAATTTGCTTCAGAACACACAACCACGTAGGAAGCAACAGTATGTTCTTTTATTTTACTTTTCATTTTGTTGCGTGTGGGTGTTTTGTCTGCATGTGAATCACATGTACACAATTCTTATGGAGGCCAGAAAAAAGCAATGGTTCCCCAGAGAGAGTCACAGACAGTTCTGAGTTGTGAGGGAGCGGGGGATTAAACTTAGATCCTCTAGAAGAGCAGCCAGTGATATTAACTACTGAGCCATCTCTCAAGTAGCAATATGTTCTTTTTAATAAATCTCCAAACTATTTTAAAAATATTATATCTACATTAGCTAATACAAGAGTAAAACTGCTCCTTTTGTTATACTTTTCACTTCTGACAAACAGTAATCCCAAGGGTAGGGGGAGCATGTTTTCTAAATACATTCCTGTTTTGCAGGTCACTGTTTCCAGCACTCCTTCAAGTCAGGGGTGCATACAACCTATCAAAACCACAGTTTAAGACAATGAAACTTTAAATCTAAGACAATATTGACTTTATATATGTTATAGATGCCACTTCACTCAGTAATCCCTGAATCCCTGAAAGTGACAATCTCCCTATCCCAACCTCTTAGATGATGCAACTAAAGCTGTATGTTACCACACCTGGCCCCTTAAGTTATAAATTTGCTAGCTTTCAGATAGGGAAAGTTCAGTTGCATGTAATTATGTTACACAACTCAGATATTATGCCAATAATTAAGAAATAATAACTGAAGAACATATGAAAAACAACTGTTACTTAATCAGACCTACAAGACTAAGAAGCATGGAGATCACAGGTGTGATGAACGTTAAAGGCAATAAAAAACTATAAAAAAAAAGTTAAAGGCAATAAAAAACTGTAAAAAAAAAAAAGTTCAAAAATGGCAAAGTTCTTAACATAAAATTTAAGAAGAGTAACTTAGACTGGCAAGTATACCTGAAACCAAGCCTAACGACCTGAGTTCAATCCCTGGAACCCATGGTAGAAGGAAGGAAGTCACTCCATTACAGTGTCTTCTGACCTCTAGACATGAACCATGGCATGTATGAGTACAAGCATGTATCATGCAAAGGAAGGGGGGATGTAAAACAATTTCAAACCATTTTACCTGGCATGCAATGCATGCATATATTCCCTGCACTGCACGACTAAAGGTCAAGGCCTCAAAACAATATAAGGTACATCTTAAGCTTCTTTTCTTTCAAATCATTGTTTTCTTTGACTGGGATCCTACTGAACTGCTTTGCCAGCTACAACGTTAAAAACCCTTGCCTACACATGCTGTCAAAAGCAACTTCTCACCTACTATACTGCCCACTCAAGTTTAACTTGCTATTAATAACACTCTACCCCAACATCACTTTTTTTCCAAGTCAACTTAAACAAACTGTTTTGATGGCAATATTCATACCAGAGTAAGAATTATTCATCTACCTGGCCATTGTTACCTACACTCTAAGTTCTTAACTACATAGTTAAGTCTAGAACTCAGTATCTGATAGTGAGTCTTTTAAAAAAGACTTTAATTTAGCAAGGGAGAGAGGGTACAGATATGTATCCAAATGTCACCAAACAAAACAAAACGAGTGTGTGTGTGTGTGTGTGTGTACATATACATACATATATAGGCCAGAGGTCAAGAACAAAAATATGGTTCATGCTATAGATTTTTAATCCCTCTACAGTGGTAGCTTTGGCAATTAAAACTGAGTTTAATCATCAAGAAGTTTGTGGGTAGACCAACTAAGGAATTCAAAATTGTCTGCATGTCACTAAAACCAATGTGTATTTTGTAGTTTTTAATTGATTTCTTGGCTACATTCAAAATTGTTTCCTGGGGTCTGTAGAGATTACTCAGTGGTCAGGGGCATTTGGAGTTCTTGCAGAGGACCTGGTTTCAGTTTCCAGCACTGACATGATGGCTCACAATCATCTGTCACTCCACTTCTGGAGGAGCTGATGGCATCTCCTGGCCTCTGTAGACACTGTGTACCTGTAATACACATCCATACTCTCTATACATACACACTAATGATGTCTTTTTCTCTCTATACTTCAGGTATCAGCCTTTTCTCTCTCTGAGGTCCCAAACTGAGTCATTACTAAGTCCTACTAATTTTGCCTCTCAGGTATTCATGAAAGCTACTTCAACTCTGTTCTTACCACCCTAAAGTTTCATCATTTCTTGCCCAAGTTACTTTATCTCCTGGTACTTGGAACGGAATGCAGCATCACAGATGTGCAGCATCACAGATGTGCAGCATCACAGAT